TTCCATGACTGTTAAAAGTTGATATTTCAGGAGCTAAAGAGGCAAAAAGAGAAACAGATTGCAGAATTTGAAGAGGAAATGAGAGAAGCTGAAGAAGAATGCCAGAAAATCGTTAACCAACTCCAGAAAGCTGAATTCATTTTAACTGAAAGCAAAAAGATTTTGTCAACAACTTATCATCCCGAAAATGAAAACGATAGTAACCCCAAGACTCCAGAAGATTTAAAACAAGTTAGTAATAACATGTCTCAAGTGTCAGAAAAAGGCGTTAAACGCAATATTTATAGCTCTCTCCCTCGGTTTATGACTTCTACTGTTGCCAGTAGACAAAGGCAAAGTGCTTCAGAAAAAGAGGTTGGTGGAAGGACAACAAGTTTGAGATCAAGTACAAGAAGTTCAATGCAGTTTTCAACTTCTCAGTCTGTTAGCTTCTCAGACAATCGTTTTCGAGCTCTTGTACAAAGTTCAAACAAGAAATCACGGTTCATGCACACAAGTACTATCCACCCTGTTGAGATCCCGAAATTCAATGGGACGGCTTTGAAGACGAGCTCCTTGTCAAGTAGCAAAATGGTCACTTCATCGGATCCAAACTTGAGAGTTACTCTTTCTCGACATAGAAGAAGAATGTCCGATTTTATCTAACATCGAAAAAAAGGTTCTTGTTTGATGATCATCTCTGGTTTCGAAAAACTTTCGGTTTTTCTTCTTTTACAGGGTTGGGGGTATCAAGTTTTATACATTTGTATGAATTTCTCATTACATTATAATTTACACATTGATTTGGAGTGGTGTGTTTAGGGTTTAAGTACTGTTAACATGACTGTTAATGTTGTATCATGGAGTGGGTTGAGGTGCTTGTAACATTGTTTAGAACTATATCATATGTGAAAGAATTTTGGTCTCTCTTAACTACATTATATATATATATATGTATGTTTCCTTTTTATTTTCTAAGTTTAAATTGTGTATGTTTATGGAGTAATTAAATACAAATTTTTTTACACTTAAAATATATTTCTCTTACGAATTATCTTTTAATTAAATAATTATTCGAGTTGTACTGTATTTTTATTTATTTAAAAATTATTTATATTATATTATAATAATTGATATATGTGTGATATCTAATTAATTAATATATAAATTTACTTAAAAAAAAATATTTTTTATATTTTTATATTTTTTTTAATTAGATATCTAAATTTGAACTCACACATTTAAATAAAAAGGTGAAGGTAGTATTTTTTTTTTTACAAATAATTTTTTTTAAAAAAATTTTTATTTGTGAGATAACAATTATTTTATACATTAATATAATTTTTTGACTATAAAATATATATTAACATAATTTTCGAATTATAAGTTTATGGATAGACTCTATATAACTAAATTTTTATCTATAATATTAATAATTTTTTTGGTCAGAATGAGATATTATTTAATTAAATTTTTTTTTTTTATAAAGAAAGATTTATTTAAAAAAAATTATGAAATTTTTGACTTACATGTGATAAAAAAAAACTTGTATAATTAATAAAATTTAAAATAAAATTACCTAATAAAATTTAAAATTTTTAATTACGAAAATTATATTTCCTCAAGTAAAAAAAAAAAAAATTAAAATTAGCAAAGGTTTTGTTTTTTGGTTGGGCTCACGGGCCCATTCATCTTTAGCCGACAGATATAACCGACACCGTTTTGCTTGAAATCATCTCCCAAAACGACATTCTCAACGACATTGATCACACCGTCAGGAGTCAACGGGAACTTGAGCGGAAAGGAAAAGACAAAACAATCTCAAAACGACACCGTATGGATCCTGATCCAGCACAGAAAATCGTGGGCGCTAAACTCACAGGCACAAGCAAAAATCGGAGAGGCACAGCTGCATAAGCATGGCGGTCTCATCGTCATTACAGAAGGGGATAGTGATAACGGTACCGGTCTTGGTACTCTCAGTTTCAGCAGCAGCCATTTTCTTGTTCTTTCTATTGTCTTCGCTATCTACATGCGATTGTCCTCCTCCTCCCCAAAATGTCGCCGTTCCGGTCCCTGCCGGCGGTGATGCGAGCGGTTCTGGAAGTTTCGTTGAAAAAATTTCGCCGTCGAAGGAGGATATCCAGTGGATTCAAGATCAGATCCGATTGAATGGTCTGCACATGCAGGAGAATGTCCTCCGCAAGGGCATTAATCCTCGCACTAGGGCTCAGCAACTCCAGGATCTGAACCAGTACCATCTCTCTCTCTCTCTCTCTCTCTCTCTCTCTGTCTCTCCTTTTACATATATATAGATCAGTCGAACGTGTTTTTGTTTTCGGGACAATTATTTTCTTTATGGATTTTGGTGTTGCAAATTGTAGATTAAGAGCTTGGAAAATTGTGCTTGTTGTTTAATTTGATTAGTTAACTGCACTGTAGATTTGTGCTACTACTTATATAGGTATCTATATCTATATCCAGGAGTATGATATAATGATAAGCACCATAAATGCTGAAATTTGAGTTTTAGTTATTGTTTGAGAAGACGATGAAGACAGCAATTAAAGCCGGAAACTGTTCATTTATTTGTATGAGAGAGATAAAAAGAGATTAGAAAGTGTTAGATTTTTTCATAGTTGGGAACCTAGGTTTTGCTTGTATGAGCTGTTTCCCTGTAACTTCTACCATTATGTTCCCTTCCCTTATCTTATAATGTAATTTCTCTGG